TTTTTTTTTTAAATGCACCCTAAATCTAAAAACACGGGTGGGCGTTTCTCCCCTTTGAAACGTGGCCATCGCGGCCGGAAGTCGAACCCGCGTTCGCGACCTTAGGAAGGTGACCCTAACTACATACGGGTTCAATGTAATGACATGCAAAGCACACAATAAAAGTGTTCATCATTAGAAGAAGGGATGACTAGCGCCCCGACAGCAATGCCATGCATGTGTATCGCACAGCTGTCGTGAGGAGGAGCGCCGCCAGTGGCATTGCATGACATTGCAACTCGATCATGCACGACCTGAGAGCAACAACGAATCTCCTACCTCCAGCTTGATGAATACTGTCGTTCGTGGTAAAGTGCATTTACCTGTATGTAACACTGAGCTAAACGGGAACTTTCGTGACAACAATTTCACAATTTTGCGCAGCTATAGGATTGATTTGTGCGGCACCTCGCCAGAAAATATATTTATAGGCCATGTTCAACTGTTATGTGTACCCACTGGTCTGAGCACGGGTTTCGTGTTATGCAACGGCTCCTTTTCGGCTACAAAAAAAAAACAGGGCTGAACGCGCGTTTCTGCTTGTTTTTTCAGCATAGCAGCATCCTGTCTATGTCGAGGTTCTCATATAACACTCCACGTGCGAGCCGCTCAAACCATGCATACGCCTTGGATACCGACAGCGTGATGATTTTAACGCACCTCGAACACCCCGTGTAATACGTATACCAATTAAAATAAATCAAAGATATATAACTTTTGAAAACTAGGGTTGAAAGTTTATCAGGTCGCATCTACAATACAGCACTTGGACGTTTATTTGTTTTTTTTTTCAATTTTTCCGATTGTTTTTTTTTCTGCTGTCCTCAAGATCCATCATTCTAAGAGAGTAAAAAAAGGGGGGGGGGGGAGAGATAAAAAAAAAAAAAAGAAAGGTTAAGCGCCTTCTTGAAAGTAAGCTTTATAGGCTATCGCAGTTTGCTTGCGCACAATGTGGGCAGCATTTCAGCAATTACTGCGTCAGTTCGCAAACTTACTTGCAATTCCTGTATAATAAAAATCACCGTCCAAGCACTCTGTACAAATGATTAACCAGCGAACGCTGAACCGTGCGGCCCCGGTGTTTAGCAACGGGTTCAACCCGACTCAGCCGAAGCCAAAGTGTCGCTGGAGAAACTCCCGCCGAATGTGCGGAATGGTCCCGTCTAACGCGTTACCGCAATAATCGCGTTGACGCTGTTGTTCTCGCAACGCCGGTCGCGTCAGCGGCATGGTTTGCAGGATCCGCCCGCTACCGGCATCCCGTTGGCGATTTAGCGCGGCTTGCAAGGCTCATCAATACGCAGTTGCTGCTGGCTCCCGGGCCTGTTTTTTTGTGCCCGGCCGGCGAATGCAAGCTCTCTCGCGTTTCCACTTTCGGGGCTCTTCTAAAAGGTATCCGCTGTTGGGGAGTTTTTTGGGTGCACGTTAAAGAACTCCAGGTGGTCTAAATTTCCGGAGCCCTCCACTACGGCGTCTCTCATAATCATATGGTGGTTTTGGGACGTTGAACCCCACAAATCAATCAATCAATTGGGGAGTTCGTAGAATCCGTGGCTTACGCATGTGGAAGCGTTCAGTAGAAACTGACGCGTGCGCGCTCTGCGCCGCGGCTGCAACGGGATGGACGACGTCACTCACAATGCAGGCAATGGCGCGCGTGTTTAGGTACGTCGCTCAGAACGACGAGACTGATAGCACAGCCAATGGGAGACCGCTCGTGACACCGATGTCGTGCGGTTTTTCGTTCCATGTACAGTGCTCAACTCGGCTGTCTATAACGACGCAGCGTTGTGCGCGAAACAACACGGGCGACATCTGCAGTTGCAAATGCGCCACATCTGAGCATGCGCGGTGCCAGTGATCTGCCTGCCTCGCAATACTGATCCCCTGTTTATCGCCGCGGATGCAACAACCGCTTTGGCCGTCGAAAGCGCTCTGAGCGACTTCGAGAAAAAACACAAAAAAAACAAGAAAGAAAGACGAAGTAAAGCCGTTGTCGCTGTGATATGACATCATGAAGCAAGACTATTTCTTTTTTTGTTGTTTTATTTCGATTTTGTAATGTTGACAGCGCTTTGATGGCCAAAACAGCCATCACGGCCGCGGAGATAAAGAAGGGTGGAAACTGCAGGGCAGGCACACCATTGGCGCCGTGCACGCTCAGATGTGGCGTATTTGTGACTGCAGATGTCGCCTATGCTGTTCCGCGCGCGACGCTTCATCGTTATAGACAGCCGAGTTGAGCACTGTGCAGTGTCGATTTTTATGAAAGGGAACGCGGCGACGCGTGGCCTGCTCGCTCCGGCGGCTGCTGGCAGCGCGTTCAAGCGGGAGCGAGAGCAACCACAGTCTCTTTTCGTGTTAGAGCACATCTATGTCAAGCGACCGAGGCAAAGTAATATTAGGCATGGCATACCCGAAGACATGGAATTAATTCTGACCACATAAATATTTTATTTAGCGTGCTCCTGAATATACATTGTGTACACTATAGCGTTCTTAATATGCACGTCTCAATAAATACATGTGTGCTCAAGCTTAGCAGCTTTATAGTGAACTAAAATATGGTATAGTTCGCTACTGAAGTGTAACGTCATATGTCTGTCAAGTTACTGTGGTGTATAAGAGAAGCTGCCGATAAACATGATGTCTAACGGTGCAGCTTGTAAATCGAGATTTGCATTTCCGATGGAGGCGGAAATGTTGTAGGCCCGTGTGCTCAGATTTGGGTGCACGTTAAAGAACTCCAGGTGGTCTAAATTTCCGGAGCCCTCCACTACGGCGTCTCTCATAATCATATGGTGGTTTTGGGACGTTGAACCCCACAAATCAATCAATCAATTGGGGAGTTCGTAGAATCCGTGGCTTACGCATGTGGAAGCGTTCAGTAGAAACTGACGCGTGCGCGCTCTGCGCCGCGGCTGCAACGGGATGGACGACGTCACTCACAATGCAGGCAATGGCGCGCGTGTTTAGGTACGTCGCTCAGAACGACGAGACTGATAGCACAGCCAATGGGAGACCGCTCGTGACACCGATGTCGTGCGGTTTTTCGTTCCATGTACAGTGCTCAACTCGGCTGTCTATAACGACGCAGCGTTGTGCGCGAAACAACACGGGCGACATCTGCAGTTGCAAATGCGCCACATCTGAGCATGCGCGGTGCCAGTGATCTGCCTGCCTCGCAATACTGATCCCCTGTTTATCGCCGCGGATGCAACAACCGCTTTGGCCGTCGAAAGCGCTCTGAGCGACTTCGAGAAAAAACACAAAAAAAAACAAGAAAGAAAGACGAAGTAAAGCCGTTGTCGCTGTGATATGACATCATGAAGCAAGACTATTTCTTTTTTTGTTGTTTTATTTCGATTTTGTAATGTTGACAGCGCTTTGATGGCCAAAACAGCCATCACGGCCGCGGAGATAAAGAAGGGTGGAAACTGCAGGGCAGGCACACCATTGGCGCCGTGCACGCTCAGATGTGGCGTATTTGTGACTGCAGATGTCGCCTATGCTGTTCCGCGCGCGACGCTTCATCGTTATAGACAGCCGAGTTGAGCACTGTGCAGTGTCGATTTTTATGAAAGGGAACGCGGCGACGCGTGGCCTGCTCGCTCCGGCGGCTGCTGGCAGCGCGTTCAAGCGGGAGCGAGAGCAACCACAGTCTCTTTTCACGTCGTCTCACGGCGAGCGAAACGACCATTCAATGCTAATATGTAACCAGCAGCAAGATTGCGACCCCCGTTTCCTTCAAGGCGATTACGCGAGAGCTGGTAATCGCCTCGAAGAGGGAGGGGTTGCAAGCTTGCCGTTCTATATCAGCAACGAATGGTTGTTTTGCTCGCCGTGACATGACGCGAAATGAGACTGTGGTTGCTCTCGCTCCCGCTTGAACGCGCTGCCAGCAGCCGCCGGAGCGTGCAGGCTGCGCGCTCCCGTGTTCCCTTTCATAAAAATCGACACTGTACAACTTTCGCTGTCAAAATTGCGACAGCTCTTCATCCGCATACCTAGAGTAATCCACGTCTTCCACTTGCTTGTGCAATCTTTCATCTAATACTCGCCAACGAAGAATAGGATGCTTAACTTTGAGCGATATTGATCGATGAAGTAGCTCGATTAACTAGTCTGCCGTGGTCCTCGGCTGATGACCTGAAAGTCATGGGTTCGAACCTGGCCGCCACAGTTCGGTGGAGGCGAAACGCTTTAGAGGCCCTGCGCGATGTCGGTAGAATCCCAGATGGTCGAATTTTCCGGAGCTCTTCCCTACAGTATTCCTTATAATCATATCGTGATTTTGGGACGTGAAACCCCATATAATATTATTCGTACTCTACCCGCGCTTCTCTCAGGGATCTGTGACATTGAGCTTGGGATGCTTTCGATAAACTGTCCGAAAAATAGAACTCTTCGTGTTAGAGCACATCTATGTCAAGCGACCGAGGCAAAGTAATATTAGGCATGGCATACCCGAAGAGATGGAATTAATTCTGACCACATAAATATTTTATTTAGCGTGCTCCTGAATATACATTGTGTACACTATAGCGTTCTTAATATGCACGTCTCAATAAATACATGTGTGCTCAAGCTTAGCAGCTTTATAGTGAACTAAAATATGGTATAGTTCGCTACTGAAGTGTAACGTCATATGTCTGTCAAGTTACTGTGGTGTATAAGAGAAGCTGCCGATAAACATTGACGTCTAACGGTGCAGCTTGTAAATCGAGATTTGCATTTCCGATGGAGGCGGAAATGTTGTAGGCCCGTGTGCTCAGATTTGGGTGCACGTTAAAGAACCCCAGGTGGTCAAAATTTCCGGAGCCCTCCACTACGGCGTCTCTCATAATCATATAGTGGTTTTGGGACGTTAGACCCCACAAATCAATCAATCAAATCGAGATTGAAACCTTATATATACACAGAAAGATGCCAACTCATTTTTTATGATTCTACTTTCGCAGGCGCCGGGACGGGTATGGTGTGCAATCTGACGCCAATGTTGCTAACGCAACACTTCGAGAACCATCGAGCCATAGCCTGCGGTGTGGCCTACTCGGGCTCTACCATCGGCTCTTTTTTCTGGCCCGCACTGCTTGAGTACCTCATCAACGAGTTCGGCCTGCGGGGAGCACTGCTCATCTTCGGCGGAACCATACTGCACGGCGTCATGGGCTCCATCTTGTTGACGCCCCTCGCCTATGCGAAGCAAAGCGAAGTCGACACCGCCAAGCCGGCCGGCGAGGACGAAAAAGTGCTGGAGCCGCTACGCGAGAAGTGCCAGAGCCTCGACTTCCATCCTTTCCAGAACGGCCACACGAACCCGCACGGTGGCAACATAGGAAGACGCTACTCTTCGCGCATGTCCGTTCGCTCGGCCCTAGGGGACAACGACAGCGCGTGCGCAGTATCCGTGTCCGGCCTCTGCATGGTGGTCTCCGACGGGGAGATGTGGCACAGCCGGGAGGAACATCTCGACCGTAGGTGTAGTCCGGCCCCCAGTCTGAGGAAGCTGAACGAGGCCAGCCCGCTGGCACCGCTGTGGGAAGCCGGATCAGTGCCCGACACGGCTCAGAACACCGAGAAGCAGTCTATCATGTCCACGACGACCGACGACGATGCTGCTCGTTCTTCTCTCTGCGCTAACATCACTCGCGTTGTTCTAAAGGACCTGAGGCTGCTGGGCAACAAATACTTCATCTTAGTGACCACCTCGGCGGTGGGATTTTTCTTTGTGTTTAGCACATTCATTATTATCATTCCTGATTACGCCGCTGACAAGGGCCTGCCGATAAGCGATGGGGTGTTTCTTCTCTCCGTGTATGGTATAGCGGACCTGTTTAGCAAGCCGATCCCTGGTCTTTTGGCATACAAGAAAATAATGGACAACAGAGGTATCTTTATTAGTGGCGGCATCATCACGGGCTTGACAATGATTGTGATGCCATTTATGGACAGCTACTGGTTCTTTGTGGTGATGACTCTACTGTTCGGCCTTGTGACCGGTGGGCTCATATTTATGACTCCCGTCCTGCTCACCGAGTTTCTTGGAGCCAAGTTAGCAGTCATGGCCTTTGGAATGTGCAACCTGTTCATCGGCATTACTTGCCTCCTGAGACCGTTCATTATAGGTGAGACCAAATGTCTCCGAACTTTTTCTAATGACACAAAGTATAAAAAACAAAGTATTTATTTATCGGTGTATTTGTTTAGTTATTTAGATTTGCTGCATGGTCACGCATCAAGGAAGCACCTGAGCTGCTCCTCTGGTTCAATAAACTAGCTTCGTGCCTTTCTGCTCTCAGAATTCAGATCTCATAACATTTCCAGTAGACAAGCAGGCTCCAGTGTATCGCAGTGCCAATGTGTGAATTGAAACCGAAGCATTGGACCGCTGGACTTTAAAAAAAAAACTGCACAAGATGGGTAATATTAAGCGGGCTGCTGCTGCTGGCCAGTTGAAATAAACTTTTTGGCTGAAATTCATGCTCACAAACTGGTGAACGATGGGCGCACGTGACTTATTTGTTCACCGAAGGAGACAAAATTATTTCTCATAGAAAAAAACACACACAGAGTAAAGTGTTTTTGAAAAGCATGAGTACCATGCGTGGGTGCCATGGTACTCATTGAAACAACAAAAGAAAAAGAAAAGGCTGCGAAAAGATATTCCCACACAACTACTGTAGTTAAACACGTGCTTTTGGTTCTTCTTCCAGGTTACTTCAAGGACAACTGGCACAGCTATAACGGCCTCTTCTACACAATGGCGGTAGCATGCATTCTCTCTTCGCTCAGCTGGTACATTCCACCAGCAGTGAACAAAGTATGGACGTGTGTGAGCAGACCAAAGGAATCTGTCCAGCCACAAGAAGTCTGAAGATTTCACATGTGCCAGGGCAGGACGTTGCTGGAATGTATGGCGCTTTACGGAACCGTGGGGCTGACACCATGGACGCCGCTATTGCGCGCGAATCGAACTCGCCTGTGGCGCTGTACTTCTGTTGTGTCTCGTGAACTGTACGGATGGCTGCACAGCACAGAAACGGAGACCAGATTGGCGCTCCTCATTTTTCCTCATCGCGAACACGGACTGCGACGGCCACTCCATTGTTGTTCAGCTGTGATGTGCATATGCATACTCGTTTGCCGCCTAAACCATATTGAGACCATCTGAAATAATTATTTTTTCATTATTAAATATGTCACTGTTGCTGCCTGGGTTGTCGTTTATCCATATCAACTCAGAGTATACCCCACTCTTTGACAGATAAGTGACAGATTTCTGAAGTTTGTGGTAAAACACACTGAGCTAAGGCAGAAAATTGGTTTTGTTGGAAGGCATGCGTATTTTAATTGCCCATAAAAACAACTATGCCAACCTAGACACGGGATTCTCGAGCTTTCAGCGTTGCGACAAAAAAATTATTATATGCTTAAGCATAAAGATGTCCCTGAATTCCCTGCCAAACATTTTTTTGAAAAGAAGCCTTGCAAGAATTTGACCGTTTTTTTTAATTTCCTTCTTCCTTTGCACTCATCAAAATTGTGGCCACATTCCTTCCACAAGCATGAACTTATAAGAAGAAAATAATTTATTGAAATAGAGATAGTGCCTAAACTCATGCGCAAATGAAGTGCACACAGACAATTTTTTTTTTCATCTGTAAATAGTCTTACTATATACCCCTAGACTCGCATAACAGCAGACAGCGCAAGAATTTTTTTTTTCTTCCGCTCCTCAGATACGACCTAGATTTGCGCAAACGGCTGGGTGGTGCCTCGGTCAACACCAAAAGGTAATTGAATTTCGAAGCTTAACTGTTGCATTATTCCAGCCGTATTCATGCGGGTACGTTTAGTGTCAAATAGCATGCAATGCGATACAGCTATAGATAGATGTGTCGCCACATGTGTGTTACACACATGTCCGATATATGCTACATCAATAACATTATAAACGATATGCAATGGCTAAGGTATTACTAGCGTATATATATATATATATATATATATGGTTGAATACACTAAGACTGTCCGATTGTTTCGCCCAAGCCGGAACATGCTTGTGGTTGTGTAAAAACAAAACGATGCAGTTCAGGAGTCCCTGCGCATACAGGCGTGACTTGAGCGGCGAAGTGCGGTTAAGCGAGGCGCGTTGAGCCTTGTTTGCCAGGGAACGCCGTCGGCATTCGTGGACGGGACAGGAACTGTTGCCGAAGCGCAGTCATGCACATTTCAACAGGTTGCCTTGTCCCAGGACCGACATACGATACGCAGCGTTGCACGCTGTTGTGCCGTCCTCGTGGCACACTCGCACTTTCGACACCCGTGTCGCTATGCGACGCTCCCAACCCCGCCTTCCATTAGAGGCACTTGCAAAACAGCGCGGCTGCCCGTTGCTGCGGCATTGGCACGTCGACGCTACTTTATGGGCGTCCATTTCGTCGAGTTGACACCAGAGGTTAAAGCGGCCTGGCTGGAGGCCTCTTGACGCTCCCCTGTGCTTTTGAATGAGACTGAAGCACTCGGCAGCTCCTCCTCGACTTTCTCGCTCCACCGCTCCTCACGTTTCTCAACCATTCTGAGGCGCCCAAAGGCCGAATTGGCAACAGGTTAAAGATCTCGCTTCAATAATACGTGTGGTTTAAGGTCCCACGACCGCGATTTCAAGCCTCTCTCCTGATAATCTCAACTACTTCGTGTTTATCGCCAATCGTTTTAGAATTGTACTTAGTTTTGCTCTGCAATTGTTTAACATATGTAAAGCATTGTGTTTTCTTTTTTATCTTGTTCTAGTTCGTTCATGTGATTTCTGATTCCTGTCTCCTGTGTAAACTTATTTGCTTTTATTCATTTTTTTTTTTTGTTGAACATTGTACCCTATCTTGTTACTTGTCCCCCCTTATGTAATGCCTTCGGGCCTTTAAGGGCGAAATAAATGAAATGAAATGAGATATGATAATGAGAGACGCCGCAGTGGAGGGCTCCGGAAATTTTGACCCCCTATATGTCTCGTCAGCGTGAACCTAAATCTAAGTACACGAAAAAGATAAAGCTTCCGATGACTGACGCCGCTTGTAAGCAGCAAATTTAGGCAATTTTAAAATAGATTACGCAAAGCCCAGCGCCAGTATTTGTAGCCGCTGCGCATGCGTCATAAGCTATCCGTTTGGGTACACACATTCAGTTACGCAAATAGCGCTCCATACCCAATGCTCTGCGTGTTTTTTTTCAGGAACTGCCTAACGCAGCGGGCAATTTGGAGGCAGCAGGGAAAGAGAGATTTATACAGCTCGCGATACGTATTGAGCGCATCCCTATGGGGAAAAAAACACGTTTACGTAAAGTGCAGGCGAGTGCTTGTGTATGTTTTGAAAGATGCGTTTACCTACTCATAAAAATGCAGTTGCTTTGTGGAAAGCAGTTATACATCACTGCCACCATTTTTCCGTTTTCCTTAAACATATTTTTCTACCACTAGTTGCCAGCTGAGTGAATGCCCGGATAACTAAAAGTTCTTCAGTAATTCATCTGAAATCATAGAAATCCTGTTTCTGAGTACAAGTGCAGATTATTCGGTGAATATCGGAGGAACTGAAGAACTTCAAATGATTTGTGCTAAGTGAAGGTACAATGTTCACCCTTGAAGCAGCCGAAATTGTAACTTGAACCGTCTCGTTAGTAGTCGTTTTCACTCTGATGACTATCATCGCCGACTAGCTTGACAATATTCAACAGAAGTATAATGTGCGCTACAGCTACCTAATTAATAGTTATGCGCAACGCAAGTGCCAATTGGCGCAAACAAAACTCGTCATTAGTTCGACTATGGAACTAAAAAGTAATGATTCGCTTCCCCTAAAACGAACAGCACAACAGATTACCTGTATTTGGGTCTCTAGATATTTAGATAATGTTTGTTACGCTTTCTATATAAGGCGCATCGTGAAGATAATTGAATAATTAAACTGTCAAAGACTATGCACTAATTGATACATCAACTTAATCACTGCTATGGAGTAGATTACGAACGGTCTCTTAGCTACAAATACGATAGGGTTTTTTAAGCGTGTATAGCGAATAGAAATTCCTCTACATTCAACATCTCGTAAATTACTGACTGGTAAATAACTTGACCCTCCCTATCTCTGCGCCTGTCCAACCAAAACACGAGAAACAACGCGACGAGGCGGGAAAACGTTTCAAAGGACGTGAAAATATCCGTGATTATACTTATATTTGAGAAAATGCAGCCATAAACACTTCGCAATCTGATGCCGCGAAACTTGCGCGGTGCAACTTGAAGTTTACACCAAGCTGTGTTCGCCGTGAAGTGAGTGAATGTAGAAGGATAAAAATGGGAGGGGGGGGGCATTATTCAGCGGAAAATCAGCCGAACGCGCTGCATAGCGCTACATATATATCCCTCGATCAGTGGTTCGTTCATCGAGCGCGTCGCGCGATCATACCCCTTTAAAAGTGGGAAGAGGGGTTCATTTCAGCGCTCCTTTGCCATATAAAATCAATTCTTGGAGCCGACTTTGCGTCCCGTTTCTCGGGTAATTAGAGGAGGGACAGCTGCCCCTGCCCACCCCCCTCCTTGCATGCCTATGCATGGTGGCATGCAAAACTTGGGCACTTTAAAAAATGAATTGTACTATAACGCACCAATTTGGCTGGGTAGGTGACATCAGAAAATGTACTGCCTGGTTACTCACACAACACATTGTTGACGACAATAGTAATCAACATGCCTTAAATCATCACATATTGTGGCAAACCAATTCGTTTTCTGACGTAAAATCAACACGCCAGTCAAATCGTCGATGGTTGCAAATAGCGCACCGTAAAGCATGTTTCATATTTCATTTTGATCTATTCATGATTTGTGTGTAGCGCACCAACCGATAATTTTAAAATTTTGTTATCGATATCACATATGTGAAGCATGTGAAGGCACTGGGATACTCGCACGTTTCTTCGATCGCACGAGCGATTGCGGTCGAAATCATTGCCGTTAGGGTGCAGGCATACAAAGTGTTGTATACATCTACATCACCTTCATGGTCCCTAGTCCATCTTTCTCATTTGTATATTGTAAAAAACTGCAACACGGTTTAAGTTAATCGTTGATTTGATCGATATGTGGGGTGCCAAAACCACTATATGATTACGAGAGACGCCGTATAGTGGAGGGCTCCGGAAATTTCGACCACCTGGGTTCTTCAACATTTTCGCCTCTATGGAAAATGCAGCCGCCGCTGCCGCCGGAATTCGATCCCGCGAGCTTCGGGTCAGCAGCCGAGTACCTAAGCCACTAGACAACCACGGCCCGGCTTGAGTTAAGGTCACGGCTAGAAAAATATTCCGGTCGTGTAGTCGAGTGCATCATTGATCCGCGCGTGCAAACACCATTGTGGGGGATTTTTTTTTTTTCAAAAGTGTATACTGACACGATTTTGAGACATCGAAAAAGGGAAATTGTTTCTTTGGCATGCGTCGCTGACGCGCTTCATACACTGGTGTCAGTCAACACGCATTAAATATTGTCTTTGATTTTAAAGTCTTCATCACTGAGCATCAGTAAGTTATAGCCCCACCGCAGCGGACATTATCCCGATGAGTCAACACAGTTGAACTAAGTTTGCGAATTCTGCGTCCTACATGCAGCCTAAATCACAGACATTGCTTTCGGAGTCACTAGAAACAATGACCTCATCGTCGTTTACTTGTACCACGAGCAGACGGCCGCATGTGCGTCGTGAATGGCTGTCTCCCCGTTATGTCCACCTGCCAAGACACATGATGGCGAAGGCGTCCCTTCGATGAAAGTGTCTTTCTAAGGTAGCGGTAATAAAAACGTATACATGGGCGATGCATTCCCAGGCACCTCAGCACATATTTAAGGGTCCTCGAAACCTACGCTCTTATTAACACCAGCAAACCCAAAATATTTTTTTAAATGCGTGTCAGTATCTTATACTTTAGTGCACATCAACCCATGACATTTAAAACGAACTGAAGCGTTTTCCTGTTGTCTACAACACTACCGAGGACCAGGGACCCGTGGAAGAAGTTACTATACTTCGTCGGAGAGCGTCTGACACCTTTTCCTCGACGATTGCGCACTCTGTGAGACACACACGATATAGGCACTGGTGAATTACACGCAAGCCGTCAGTCTGTTAGCGAAGAGTTGCGGCCGTTGTCAAGCT